TTTTTTTTTTTTTTTTTTTTTTTTTTTTTTACCTATGCTTGTGCACCTCTCTTCGCCTACCACACCACGCGCACATATGTATTTAAACTGTACGAACATTTAAAAAGGAGGATAATACGAAAATTATTTTTTTGTAAGGTCATCCTGATGCGTGCATGGGACGACGAAACGGTTAGGGGGGGTTAACGGAACACAGCCAAGCGAATCGGATTGGCCAAACGAACGATCTTCTTCACCTCCTGTCACCTTATTGGTGCGCTGTTCTGCCGCAGAAAATGTTTGTTTTTTCCTCCTACGAATAAGCCAAACCGACACACACTTCCTCGCATGCGTAACGCTATAAAGCAATTTAATGAGAACTGTGTGCATGAAATGAAAGAGACACGTCTGGATGGGAGAACACCGTGTCCATACCTGCGTGCTAATTTGGTCTATATATTTTCTGGTGCCTTTTCTGCGCCAGCAAACAGAAAGTTGTATAACAGCACAAAAAAAAAAAAAAAAAAAAAAAAAATTTCTCCCCCCCCCGTGTGTGTAGGGGTACACTTTACGGCCGCTCATATTCGCGCGAAAAGGTGTCAAATTGGAAAGGTCCAAAAAAGTTGTTCAAATGGGGCAGGCATTGTTCACCGTTTTGAGGTCTTCACTAATGCGCAGTAGGAGGGACATAAAAGGGGCGTTTTGCCAATGTCTTCATCTCCCCAGTCACACCACTGTTCAGCACGATGACGTTATTGTGGCCACCTGCGGCGTGTCCATCGACACGTTTCAGACCAGCATTGTCTCGATCCCAAATTGGTTGATTTCGAAGAAGCATAACTCGGGTTTTCGTTTCTCCCTTTTTATTTTTATGTACCTGAGGTTGTATCGTTTTTTGTAAAAAGCATCCTTGGTGTCTTCATCCTCATCGCTCTGCTCAGTACAATCGCCAGGATCGCTACGCTGAGCATCGCCCACATGGCCCACATCGTCCCCATCAGCAGACCCCGCGCCCGCCGCGTGGGCATTACCCGAGACATCATTAAAGCTCTGTTCGCTCGACGAGCAGTTTGCGTTCACGTCCATGCCGCTCTTCCGGTTACTGTTTTCATCCTTCATGACGCTCCCTTTGCGGCTGCCTTTCCCGTGTGCACGTCCCGCTTTGCTTTCCCCCTTGGCAGGAAAGGAAAATTCAGAAAGTTTTTTTTGGTTGATGAATTTAACGAGCACATGGTTGTACACATATTTGGAGTAGAGCTGCAAAATTTGTTCTTCTTTTTTTTTAAAGTATTTATTATCATTGTGGGTGAGGAGGACACACACTTTATTTTCAGTCGACAATTTGGACAGGGTTTTTAAAAGCTGGTTTAGTTCATTGTCCCATGTATTTTTCCCATGGGGTCCTCCCCCCCTGTGCAGGTAATTTAAGTTGTCTACCACAAGTACTCCTAAGTCGGAAGGCACATACCTACTGAAATGTTTGCTGCATGGCTGTTCATACTTTTGCAACTCGCTGCTAATAAAATTAACAACGTTAATGAGTTCGCCAAAATTAAATACTTTTAAGAGTTGGAAATTTTTGTACACATCTGAGAATGTGATGCGATGGATGTACTGGTCCAAGTGGTGATTAAAATTTTTTATGAGGGGGTCAAACGATGCGCTATACTTTTTTCGTAGCGGGGAGAGTAAGGTCTTCATTTCTTTGTCCCCCTCTAGTAGTAGCAGGAACAGGGCGCATTTTTTTTCAGAACAGAATTCTTTGTATGTTTTCATTAGCTTTTTTATTTTTTCGAGTGAGGCGCGGATCATGTTTTTGTACCTCTCGATGTAGAAGCTGTTGTCGAGGTCGACGTAGATGGCCCTGCGTTTGGAGAAGCGCTGGCGCCACTGTTCCTTCGGGCCCAATTCATCACGTTCGTCAAATGCGCCAAATTGGCCGTCTGTCCCATCTTCCCTGCCACTGTCGCGGTGAGCATGCGTGCGGTGAGCGTTGTCGCAGTTAGCATGGTCCCCCCCCGCTTCTAACTGAACGAACTGCGTGGAGAAGTACCTCACGAGCTCCTTAACGTCGGCGAAGTTTTTGTTCCCAAGGGCGAATTCTGTACACACTTGGCGCAGGTTAGTAGCTGTCCGTAAGCAAAATTTATTTTCCACATTTTTTTCTTCCAAAAATTGTACAAAGTCGAAAAAGGTAGAGTAAAACAGGTGGAAGTAATGCAACACGTCGTTAAAAAAAAGATTCACACAAATGTGTGCACACAGGATACTTTTCCCGCAGTTTCTCCTGCCCGTAATTGCATACATCCCTCTACTAACGTATATGCCATCGCATAATGAATTGAAGGTATATATATTTGTGTATATTTTACCCTTTAATTCTTCTTTCAACTCTTTTACATTTTTAATGTTACATGGACTCACGTATTCTCTGCTCACGATGGGTCTCATGACCCTTTCGTTGGGGACCCATTTTTTTTTTATCATGTTGGATGGGATAATAAATTTTTTGCTTTATCTGAAACAGCTTTTCCACCTTAACGTGTCATATTTCTTTCCGTTTGAAGAAAGTTCATCAGCTGATCAGGTTGCGGCGTCTACTTACCTGTCCTTTCGTTCCCCTCACTTTTGTTCTTTTTCGTCCCCTTGTTTATATTTTATATGTTGTGCCCTCTTCTATCATTCAGTTCCATTTTTTTGTCGCCTTTTTTTTTCGCCTTTTTTTGCGTTTTCTTTTTTTGGGTGGGCCAACATTTTGGCCAAAAAGTTATGAACAGGTAAGGTGAAAAAAAAAAAAAAAAATGTCCCAAAAAATGTCCCCCAAAAAATGTTGCAATTGAGTGAAACACGGATCAGGTGTTTTATGCAGCTCAACTGAAACAGCGCCGAAATGGTAAGCGTCACCTCGAGGGGGCAGTAAAAAGGAGAAGTGGAAAGTAAATAGTTCTCGGTCAATTTTACCATTCCCGGGTAGGCATGTAATTTTTCCCCCCTTTTGTATCCCCACCCACAGGTGAATGTAAAAAAAAAAAAAATTAACAGCAGCTACATCGGTGGACTGCTCATTAGGAAAAAGGTTTCCATTTTCGTCTTATATGTTTTGGGAGCAACATATAGGTGAATGTGCACAGGTGTGTAGATGAAACATGTGTGCACACTATACAAGGGCACAAAAACAGGATCGTTGACTGCAGCGGGGTATGCCAGAAGGGCCTCATCCATTTCGCACACGTTCGGTAAACACCGTTCCCACGAACACACTCCAATAATGAAAAAATTCGTGGGTCAAAATTAAAGGAAGTAAAACATTTTTTCTTTTTTGTAATTTGAAGGAAGAACAGGCAAAGTTGCACAAAGGTGTCCCTATTTTGTACCTCATTAAATATATTTCATGTTCCCGTCTCATGGATCTGTTTGAAATTAGTTCGGAGAAAAGTTCCTGCCAGCGAATGGGTAGGGAACACCAGGGTAGAGGTGGGAGCGGAACGGCGGTGAGGGGAAGACTCATAAAACCGGAGCGAAGCAGTGAAGAGCGTGAGGAACTGACAAACCTTTTTAGCACCAGTTCTGGAGAGGACAACAATGGAACGAAAGAACACCAGCACAGAGCTTCTGGCAGGAAGAGGGGCTTCTTTAGTGACAGCGTAAATGGTGGGGATAGTGCGGAGGAAGATAGGAGGAAAAACAAAAAGAGGAGGGTGAAGAGTAAGTGCCTGTTCAGTACCATCTCGGATGAGGACGCCGGCCATAAAAGTGCGCAACAGAACGAGCTGGGTGACAATTGTCTTTTTAGTAGCGACGTGGAGAAAGTGAATGATCGGGGTGACAACTGTCCACAGGAAAGAAACTCCAATTGCCTTTTTAGCAGCAGCTCAGAGCAGGCCACTCAGTGCGAGTCAGACGTGAAAGGAAAGAACGAAAGTCACAATGGAGAGGGTGCAAATCTTCAAAGCACAATGCACATAAGGGATGGAAATTTCTACCTTAATGTTCGTGACAAAGGGATAAATAAAACACGAAAGAAAACATCCTCCTGTTCAAAGTTTGCATTAGGGCGGAGGTCTAGAATTGCAAATAGGGGTGCACGTCTGCCAGGCAGAAGTGGAAAAAGGGAAACCACTTACTACGACCTGCATGACACGACAGAGGAAGGAATGTACCGCTTAATAAATTTTGCCAAGTTAAAAAGGAGAGCTACAAGGAAGTTAAATTTTATGAGCATACTTAATATGACGAATGAGGGCGGTGAGTCATCTGGGTCGTCGTGTGGGTCGTTGTCGCGCGCGCGGTGCAGCTCGCCGTCCAGCTCGTCGTCGCTTTCCTCAATACGTTCTCGAGGGGGCGCCCACGCAGGGGACGGAACAACCGAGAGCACGGCCAACTCGGAGGAAGACATTTTAAACCGCACGGGTGTGAGTTACGCGGCGTTGAGTGAATCAACCCAAGAAAGCATAAAGGACAGTGCAGCTCTGAATGACGAGGGAAACAATAACAGAACCATGAACGTGTACAATTACTACTACCTGGGCAGCCACATGGACAAGCTCGTTCTGCACAAGGATGTAGAGAAAATAAAGGACAGTGGAAATTGCGTTGAGGGTGATAATCTGCATGACCGTTTGTTTGGCCTACGGGATGAGAATCAGAAGCGGCTGGATGGAGTGGAAGTCACTTCAGACGGGATGCATAAAGTCATGAGTAAGGAGGAGACCACGTATCGACACAAGGGAAAATCATTCAAAATGACGAAGCCACGGAATAAAATGGAAAAACGAAATAATCTCATGGTGGAGCGCAATTTAAGGCTGTATAGAAATTTTAAAAATATAAATGTAGAAGTTACAAGACAAAATAACCTCAAAGGATTGAACTTGAAAAAAATTGTTGTAAATTTTATTCGTCTGGTCAATAAAAATATGGTGTTGATGAGAGGACAGGGACAAATGGATGCTTCACAGGAAGGGAACTATTCAGGAGAGAAATTTAAAGACACCAGCGATGTGGAAGAGTGGTATGTTAGCAAGAGGGGGGGGGATGTGACGAAAGGGGAAGAAGCACAAACAGAGCCACTTTTGCAAGAAGAGAGACAACATCCTAGCCAGTTGGAGCTAGCTAAATGTGTGTGCATTTTTTGTTCAGAAAAAAAAAAAATTCTGACCAACGAAGAAATGCATATAAGTACATTTAATTATATGGACGAAAGAAAAAAAGAAGACACAGTGATTAAACCCTTTTTCATGCACAACTATGTGTTTACCGCGTTCATGAATTATTTTATTCACTACGGAAAAGTTGCACGTGTGCAAAGGGGGGGGGAAAATCTCCACTTATACAAATTTGAAAAAAAAATCACAAAAAAATATGGCATTAAGCGGGTAATTATTTTTGTGGCCAAAAAAGTGACGTTGACAACTGTAGGGATCCACATGGAAGGGTCGAATATGTTGCAGGAAGACGAAGAGTTTGTTCTCTTTATTAACTTTTTTAAGTGGAGTATAATAAGAAGACGTTACGAAGAAATTGTAAAATTAAAGAGGAGGAAAAAGGAAAAGGAAAGTTTGAGCATTTTTAAAACATTTTTTTTTTTTGTTAAAGCGATTGATGAGTATTGCTCAATTTGTAACATCCAAGTGGATCATCCCAATGGCAAAAAAAAAAATTTTGAAAAAAAAAAAAAATTCATGAGTCAGCCATTTTGCAAAAGGGAGGATAATACCCATAGCAACGGGACTAACTCCTTTGGCTTTTCTTATTCCTCCCATAATGAGGTGAGGATCCAACAGATTGAGGATGCGCTAAATCGTGACTTGATCAACTCACGTCTGATGTTTGCTCTCGTGGATTCTCTGCGCATTTCTGTAGGGCGCACGCTCTACCTGTTCCCTGCGCATATGCTCGTTCTCGTGTGATGGGGTCGATGAGCGCCACTATAGGGGGGGTTGGGGAGAAGAGCACGCATATCCCTCCAACCCATGCTGTCCATTTTGTTAGCTTCTTTTTTCCCCTGCGTGAGAGATGGACCCAAGAAAGGGGCAACATGACAGGAGGTACAAAAAGTGGGCAAAGAAAAGTGCCGCGTCCAATTGGGCTCACATGACAGCGCGGTGAGATGAACACAACGATGGTGACAACGACGATGAGAAAGGCAGCCACGTGTGAGGAGAACGAACCCGTGATGGGGTTGTACGATCCGCTCATTTTCTGGGACAAGTAGCTTCTCCTGTTATTCACGCAAATCTGCAACAGGGGGGAAAACAGAGAACAGGTTTACACGTACGCATATACAACGCATATGTGTGTATGCACTTTTTATTTTTTTTTGTTGCCCCTCCATGAGGAGATAGCAAGCCACACCACGTATCACGCGTCACGCATTGCGGAAGCAACCCCCCCTGCTTCACTCCTCATTTGTTACATTTTTTTTCATTTCCATTTTTATTGACTCGTTATAATTGAGGTAGTCGTGGTTGATGATGTCGTGGTGGCACCTGCGGGGGACGTACGGAATGTTCAGAGTTGTTTTTCTTTTGAAGGAGATTACACATTTGTTTATTCCCTTTGCCAAGTTGCTTCTCAATTGGGGAGAAAATTTTTTCTTTTTTTTTTTTTTTTTTTTTTTTATTCGCCCAGATTGATGCTTCAACATTACTTAGTCTTATTCTTCTCGCTTTTGAATGGCATTTTTTGTAGCGCGCTGGTTTTATCCTTTTCTTTCTTTTTGGTGACAAGGGGGGGATGGGGCAAAAGACAGCGGCCATGTTATATGTTTCGGCGTGCATTCGGCAGCCAACGGTATATGATTTGAAATTAAAACAAAAGGGGGGAGAGATAAATGAACCGCTCCCCCCCCGGTCGCATTAGGTGCACTATTTCTCGGTGCACATTTAGGGGTAGTTAGGGAGCGACAACGGAATGCTTCACCACGTGTTGCTCATATGTACATACATACTTGTGCATTCATGTCCTCCAGTTGCCATCTCTCTTCATTTCTTTGGAGGTTCTCCTTCCTGTTACGTTGCGTGATGTGACGTGACGTCATGTGTCGTGTGGCGTGGGTGCATTGCTCCACAGGAATGCTCCTGAGCCGCATTTCTCACTGCCTCCTTCCCTACCGTCTATTTTCAATTTTGACGAAGGACTTGAGTTTTTCCCTCTCCCTGGTTTTGTAGTCCTCGAACGCGGCTTCGTTCTTCCTGAGGTACGTCTTGCCTGGGGGAGGAGATGAAGTGACACCCATGTGATGTGGCACAGCCTTGAAGGGGTGCACCACGCACACACACATATACACATGAGCGAATTACCCTGCCCCGTGCATGTAACATCAGCTATTACATTATCGACCACATTATGCTTTACATGCTTCTCATGCCTCTGCATCAATCGTTCCTTTTCTAACACGTCGCGATACATTGCAGTGAAGGAGGTGGAGACACGAAAGAATTTTTTTTTGAAGATGAACTTGTTGTGAACAGGTGTGGACAAAAGGGCAGTTGCGTTTGTCTTTCTTTCCCTTTTCTTATATCCCACAGATGTATGCTGTGGTCTAAAAGGAGCTTCGCTGTAGTCGTAGCCAAGTCGGTCTCACACATGGTCAGCGGAAAAAAAAAAAAAAAACATTCGCAGCTTGTTCACTTTTTTTTTTTTTTTTGCACGCGGTTGAACTTGTCTCTTCGGTGAGAGCAATATGCGTATATAATACATTTGGTAGTGACGCGACGTATACGAAGTTTCATTTTGTTACTTCAGCTTGTAGATGCAGCGTAGACACTCGAACGTGAAGGAATCGTCAAAACACTTTTGCCCTATACATGTGCATGGACAAGACAGATTCAGTAAAATGCCATCCCGAGTACATGCTTAAAACTGCGCTGTGAGGATCAGTGGTGGAGGAGAGAAGCGCATTGGTGCGTAGAAGTGGACAGGGACCTTTAAGAGGGGGTGAGGGAATCACAACAAAATAGCCGTAGGACAGCGCGAAAGCTGCCTCATGTAAAAAAACAGTAAAAGGTCGTTAAAAGGAGTCGTTGAACTGTTAGAAGGTTCATTGTAACGAAGATGTATGTGCATATGGTACACCTCTATGTCTGCATATCTCCGCGTACTGGAGCGCACTGGAACATATATACATATATATACATGGAGAAGAGAAAAAAAAAAAAAAAAAAAAGAATGTCAAAAAGGGTGAAAAAAGCAAAAAAAAAAAAAAAAAAAAAAAAAAAAAAAAAAAAAAAAAAAAAAAAAAAAAAAAAAAAAAAAAAACTATAAAAAAAAAAAAAAAAAATTTAATTTTCTTTTCTTAATTTTTCTTTTTCTTTTTTTTTCTTTTCTCATATTCTTCTTATTCCCCTTTTTTTTGTAACTCTCTCTTCTTTACATATATAAAAAGAATGGACATGTATGTAACATGTGGGCTGTTACACATGCACACACACACATATGTGCAATGGAACACGTTCACGTTTCGGTGTTTAGTCCGTTTGGTTGTCCGTTCATGTTCCTTGGCTTGCTGGCTCTCTCACTTGCAAATAATGCGTGGGCCGAAAAGTTCTGCAGCACCGCTGCCAGCCGTTTGGTCAGCGGCCGCTACGTTATCCTTCACCCGACGCCTCCCATTTTCCCGCTTCCTTTTTAATTGTTTAAATTGTATTTATTTTTGTGTTTTTTTTTTTTTTTTTTTTTTTTTTTTAAACTTTTTTTTTTTTTTTTAATATTTTAAAAAAAACAAAAAATTATTTAAAAAAAAAAAAAAAAAAAAAAAGGGGGATTTAATTAAATTTATTTTGAATTATTTTATATAATTTTCATTGGGCATATTTTTGCGTCCAGGCTTTTGCAGTTTGATGGTATTTAGTTCTGTCTGTTTTGTAGACGTGGGCAATTTCTGGCACGAGCGGGTCGTCTACAAGAGGAGGAAAAAGGGAGAGGGGAGTAAATGTTTTTGCAACAGCAATATATAGAACAAGGCAATGTGCTATTCGTATGCACATTTTTTGGGGGTGATGCACACATCGTCCTACTCACCTGCATTGGGGTCAGTTAATAACGATGATATGGACAGGAGGACTTTCGAAATGGTTAGCGCGGGACTCCATTGGTCCTTCAGGATGTCAAGGCAAATGGCGCCCGACGTGTTTATATTAGGGTGATATATTTTTGTGGTGAAGATTATCTGCACGGAGGGGGGTGGGCAACAAAAAAAAAATGAAACAGGATGTAGACATATGAATCACACACAAACTGAACGTTAGAAGGAAGTGTGACCGGTCAACATTCACTTCCGATATATAAGTCACCAAAGCACACTGCTAACACGGAGCGGTCAATTACCTTTGGAGGCTTGAAGGGATAATCGGGGGGAAATTTTATGTTCAGGAAGTATACACCATTTTCGTAGGGACTGTAGGGAAGTGGGGTGGGATGTTTGTGAGAAGGTGTGCATATTGGTAGGTGTGTGCAGGGACCACGGTGGACTGCATCAAGGGTAATCATGCACGTATACGAAAATGGACACGTGCGAAGTAGTGCTCTATGATGGATTCCTCTCAGCCAAAAGATCACGTTGTGTGTCAACAGTGCGCTTTTTTTTTTTTTTTGTTCATATTTTTTTGTGTTTGTTCATATTTTTTTTGTTCTTGTTCATAATATTTTTGTTTCTGTTCATAATTTTTTTTTTTTTTTTTTTTTCCTCTTTTTGTGCTCACCTGTCGCCTGGTCCCATTATCGTGGCTTGCCAAAAAAAGAGGTCATCTCCAATTGGCCCCGCGGAGCAATTCGTGGGGGGGTCTTTATTCAAGTCTTGTAATTCCTGCAAAAGTTCACAAATAAATAAAGGAAAAAAAAAAAAAAAAAAAGTGCGAATTGTGTGTACCTTGTGTTGTGTAGGATGTCAGTACCAAACAGCAGTGGCCAAGTTTGGTGTCCACGGTGGGAGCACCTTCGTTTGTCTCGTTCCTCCTCAGGGGATGCAATTGTGCACTCAAACATGCAAAAGGGGCCACATCATTTCACAATTCCTAAACCCAACGGCTATGCAAATAACATGCGTGTGCATTGAACGTGTTGTGGAAAACGTTACAGCGAGGAAAAGCAGTTATGACATGGAGGGTGTATAAGTGGAGGACGCAGGTCCACCAGCTATGCATAATGTGTACATTAAAATCGCCATTATGCAATGACACAATTGGGGATGGGAAAAAAAAAAAAAAAAAAAAAACGCAACTGGAACGACAGCGAGGGGAACATAGGGGAAACACGAGAATGCCTGTAGATATACATTCACAGTGGAGGGGTCGTCGGGGGGGACATGGAAGCATGGTCCTTGCGTGAAATTACTCTAAACAGGCATGTGCCTTCAAACGTGCCCCCAAATGTACCGCCAAATGTGCCTCCATACGTGCAATCACATCACACAGTGACGGCGAAGTGCTGGCACAGTCATGGTACAGTGATGGCGCAGTGATGAGATACATGCGTTCCCGCGCGTTCATGTAGCCGCGCCGCATATGCGCGCACACGCAGTTGGCTAATTACCTTAGTTATCCTTTTCAGTGCCATGCTGCTTCTATATTTTTATCGTGTCACTAAATAGTTGGTTTAATTATTTAATAATGTGACGACTTTACAAGAGGGGGAAAGTGTGAAAATCAAGCGTTTTTTTTAAAAAAGGAATTCAAAAAAAAAAAAAAAGCAAAAAAAGTGAAGAAAATTATGTTATTTTTTTTTTTTTCAATTTTTCTTTTCACTTCCATTCGTTTGTATATTTTTTTTTTTTTTTTTTTTTTTTTTTTTTTTTTTTTTTTTAACCATTTGAAAAACGATGAAAATTGACGAACGCAGTTTTATGCGAACATGGTCATACGCACGATAGGATGCGGCATTACTTCCACCCGACTGGCAGACTTCGGGTATT